ATCAGAATTGTAGAGCTCTCTCTCTCCTTCCTCTCTCTCTCTCTCTCTTTCTCCTTTTCCCCTTTTTTCTCCCTCTCTCCCTCTTCTCCTCCTCTTATAGGGCTATAAAATTAAAGCAACTTGAACACATACATTTAACAGAAAAGTATTCATTATATATTGTGGATATCAAAATTATCCTGATTTGTTATCAGTACAACAAAGCCTTGTTGTATTAGCAAGAACTGAATGATATTTAACACAACGTTTATTCCGGAAGACTCAAACAAACCGAAAATGCATTGCTATGACCGGATCAACTTATTAGTGTTGTGATCACTGTTCTGAGCTTGTTGAATCACGGTAACTCGCCCAAATTATCGAAAACAAAAAACACTCAAATACCAGAGGACATCGTGAGTGGTTTTAAAGTACGTCAATCAGATAATCATGTACACACTATCATAGCGGATCGATCCACAATTATTGATGGCGTGGCATCAATGAGTAGTGTACATCACAGCTGTTATATACCACATGACATGACACAAATACACAGGCAGGCAAAATTCACTAAAATGAAATTTAATCGAAATTGAGCAACGATCAGCGAAATGAACCCCTGATGACCTTGGGGCAGTTGAAATTTCGCGCATTTATCATACAGCACTTTACAAAATCCATAAACCAGGAAAAGTCTTCATAAGCTCAGTGAAGAATGCTCTTAACTGTTCATATTTATGTCTATGTTTGCTTAAACGCCACAATAATTAATTTGACTGATATGCATTCTATAAGATCAGTGTGGCACCTCTATTTAGAGTGCGCGAATCAATTATCAATTAGAATTAACATCTCAAATTATAATATTCTTTACCCAATAACAGGTTAGACCATAATAACAGCTGCAATTGAATTAACAGCAGTAATGAATAACATAGGACAGATAACTTTATATATATCATAAGTGGTTACTTGACGCATGATACGTCCTAATAAGCATTGCGCATTAAACACTTCATAATGCAAATGGTATGGTACGAATGTGATGAATTACTTTTCATCAGAAATTGGAATACCAATTGAAACAGTTTATGATTTCTTCCAATAATATATTTACCAAATTGGAATCATGAAATTTTGCCCTTTATCCGGAGAAACTTATCAGAGAAATTTTTTCAACAAACTCTCACCCAATACATATTTCTGATTTATATTCTTTTTCCGAACTAGAAAGAAGGGGATCGGTTATTAAGCTTGCTATTTATGCAAACAGTCATCGATGATTGCTGCATTTAAAACTTATTATTTTAAAGAAAACACGTGCAAGCATGAATTGAATTCTAGATGATATACTTTGGAAACAACAAAAAAAAACACGAGAACTCAGGAGAATCGGCTGGGCTTTTCGATGTTTTTCCATTTCAAACCACTGCTGCATTGTTGCACAGAACTTAACATCTTTCCTCTCCTCTTCTTTTGAAACTTTTGTTAAGAATAAAAAAAAAAGGCTTCTAGGAACTTATTGCAAAAGTTTAAATGAAAAAATTAAATTAGATTAGAGTGAAAGGGTAAGACGAAGAAGAAGGTAAGAACGGGATGAGGAATGATGGAGTGAAAAAATGCCATGCATCTTGGATCTAAGTGTTTTGCCAGTTGAGTACCACTGCCAGGCACACAACAAATCGATGGCGCCCATCACTTATGCTTCATTTTACTAAGACAGCTATAACCCTACACAATATTAACGTTAACTTACACCGTTTGCGGGGTTTAGGGGAACCGATGACGAAGTAAGCGTCTCAGATCTCCCAATCAGACAACCTATGATTTATAGCTTTACACTACTCAATTATAAAATAGGGCATTTTTGGAGAAAATCGGAATATTATGTAGTGCAGTGTAAAATTATAAACATCTCCGTACTGTTATAGTGATATCCGATCAATAATTCGAATACCGATATAATTAGCACCAAGCTGACTGTCCGATATTCATTCATCCGTTCAATTCATCCAATCGGACATCAACATAACTACAGTCGGGAATGAACAGCTTGATTATCACTTTAACTAATCTGTACTTGGATAATGCGATCATCATCCTTAAACAGAGCTTTTTATCGTTTTAAAAATTGTACACAATATTATAAGTATCACAAAACACCTTATTATCAAAAGCCTCAAATGAACTGTGAGTCCTTTATTCTTTCAAAAAAAAAAAAAAACGAATTTGTTCATATTCATACAAACTTTTTCCACGAAAAGAATTCATCAATTCAGTGAAACTCAAGATGTAAAAATGACGGAGAGTTTCAGTAATGTTTAAAATTCCAGCCTCAACAATTCAACAAATTATTAAAAACCACTGAAGCTTAGTCGAAATTTTCAGAAACTGCAAAGAATCTAAAGATCTAAGCATCCGAACATAAAGACAAGCTGAGATCATTGATTTTCGATGAAGTCCAATTTATACACTTAACAATTCCTAGCAAATCGACCTGCTGTCTTCCTTTATGTTCTTTTCAAACAGACTACTGCCATAGAATTCACCCGCAGATTTTTAAAACAATGCCCATCTTTGTACATCAGATACACATCACAGTGATTAAAACGAACGAACATCCGTAATCTGTAACTATTTCGAAAATATGTACAAAGTCTCCGAAAACACACAATAACTTTAAAACATTCCAAAATGCTTCATAAGCCAATAGTTTAGTCCCACTGAGTTTAGTACCATTTTGTAACAGTTTCAAACGAAACTATGAGGTAGACATATTAGTTATTTCGACGATTTCCTAGGGAAGAAGAGGCGCCTTGTAATTGCTTCATCATATTTTGCAAACCACCCATACCACCCATTTGTTGCAGCACCCGTGGATCCATCATTTTTGCCATTTGTTGATTGAGCTTTTGTAGTTGCGATGGGTTGATGTTTTTGGTATTCATATCACCGTTCTGCAACCGATAAACAATAATAAATGAAAAAGTGAGCACTTAATTAGTTCCAAATAATGCGGCAAGAGAAGATAAAGCGATTTCTTCCAAAAATGAAAAAATAAGAATAACAAATGTCTTGATTTCATTGCATAATCTTCTAGGATGAAAACTGTAGCGAACTGTTTTGCCTAAACTAATACATCAACTGATAATTGTAATTCCAAAGTAATAATTTACGACATCAAGGGCATGCGAAAACAACTGCATAAAACCACGCTAGTGTTTTCCGCAATTACTGCAAAATTATACATATGTGCATGTAACAAGCACGTTATACAAATATACAAATACCGTTGTAGCGGGTAAACAGCGCAAAGGGAAACCTTTAAAAAAAATCAAGCAAAACAATAGATCAAAGATGAGTCGGAACTTGTGCGATTTTATGCAATTATTGGAACATGTCCTTTGACATTTTAAACAGATGACATATTTCCTGTTTGTCACCTCTTTACTGGAAAGAATTATTCATCAAATAAAGATGGTATAAGAAATCACCTTGAAAAGACCCTTCATACTGCCCATTTTTTTCACCATATCAGCGAATTTCTTATACTGCGTCAGTAATTCTTTTACTTCGCTTGTTGCTGTTCCACTTCCACGTGCTACACGCTGAACTCGGCCAGGCTCTTTTGAGAATAAATCATTTGCCTTTGGATGATCTAATTCTGGAAGAAAATTCCTCGCAATATTGACGCAAGGACAAAAATGAATCGTTTTGTCGATAATAAACGATGAGTGAGAGCAAACTCAGCAAACTTACCTCCCCAATATGCTCATTCCCTCTTCAACCTGAACGACAGCGTGCATAACGTTTTTACTTCTCTAAATTAAATTCAATTTAATTTTAACTAAATGCGCCAATGTCGACGTTATATTAAGTTCAACTTGATGAAAGCTACCTGCATCAGACATGCTGTCCATAATAGTCATCAGTTTCTTTAGCCTGGATTGTGACTCTTGTTCGTTACCTTTGGACATAAAATCTGGTCCAAATCCAGGAATCATACTCTGAAGATATGATGAAAAGATTAATAAAAAAACAAGAAACACTATTCGCTTCGTATTTTTACAAAACATAACTTGCATCTAGGAAATCCTTAAAACTCACTTAAAAAGTAAATACAAACCATGATTTGATTAAACGGACCCATTTTCATGATGTTTTGGAACTGCTCGTACATATCACGCAATGTGAACATACCTCAAATTTTGCAAAAATTTTTCACTCTCATTTCAAAATAGAAGTGAAAGACTCATCTTACAATAATGTCTTGCAGACCAAAGATCTCACTTTACTCTAGTGAAGAAAAACTAGTGACTTTTTAATCCGACTCGAATAACAAGGCTTGAAAATACTGGTGAATACTAAAATTGTATGAGCTTTCACGTATGTGATTGCAATCCAACTTACTCTATGCTATGACCATTAGTTTCATACTATTTGTCTTCAACTGTGAATCGCTATTTTTATGACCCATGCAAATGTATGGTAATTTAAATCTCAAAAGGAAATATTACACGCACCATGCTTTAACCTTTTGATGAGCTCCTCGTTATCCTCAATACCAATTTCATTGACCTTTTTTACAAGACCTTCGATGTCCCCCATGCCTAGTAATTTCTGTACGAACGGTTTCACTTCGAATGGCTCAAAATCATCAATATGTTCGCCAGTGCCAATGAATATTACAGGTGAATGTGTTGCAGCTACACTGTAATGAAAAAATCCTATCGAGAAAATTATCAGTGTCAAAAAATAAAAAGAAAAAAAAGAAAAAAAACTTGAAGCCTGATACAGACTTACGCTGAAAGAGCTCCACCGCCTTTAGCATGACTGTCCAATTTGGTGATGATCACTGAACCAACATCAACAGTTTCGCTAAAAGCACGGGCTTGTGCTTCACAAGCTTGTCCAATTGAAGCATCCATAACGAAAACTATATTGTTTGGATTCTAAAATAAAAAGATTTTACGCGCAAATACCGACTGGATTCAGCTGTAGTTCGAAGCATAACTTCATATCATCAATCCTGCATTGTGCTGACACCGGAACTTATTTTCCGGATTATATCTGCCAAAAAAGTTCCCCAAAATACGAAAATATAACATACTATTAGATCTGACATCTAATTTAGTGCCAGTTCTCCTATCTTCCGCACCATGCTCCCACTGTTATTAATCCCGTTCCTTCTCATCTTCATCATACAAGCCTATTTTTTTACAGACATATGAAAGATCAGACATGATAAACAGTTGATTTTGATGCCGTTAAATTTGACCTTAACCGTGCTATCTATAAGAGCGAAGAATTACCACTGCATTCGACACTTGCAACATTTCTTCGAAAAGGGAAGCTTCTTGTTTGTGTCGACCGGAAGTATCTACAACAATAATCTCGAATCCATCTTCTTTAAATTTATCGACACCACTTGCAGCTATAGTAACTGGATCCATTTCTATATAACTAAAAGACTGAACTGATTAAATCGAAATTTAATAAAAAGTGTAAGCTATGCACGAGTCGTAATATTTCCCGAACTAAGTTCGGAAAATTACACCAAACAATACATTCCATGCAATAAAATTTAAAATAAGTTCAGAATCGTATGCATCTTGATCCAATGTAGCTTATTTCCGAACTAAGTTCGAAACTTTATATGTTAAATGTGGAAGAAGCAGACTAATGAACATTATAAAAAGATCATAGAAAAACTAACCTTCCATAAAATGGTATCCTTGCTTTCGTAGCATTTTGCTTCAACTGATCAAATGCACCAGCACGGAATGTATCAGCACAAATTAAACACGTTTTCCAACCTTTTTTCTGGTAGTAGTATGCCAACTAAAAATAAACTTTTTAAAACAATACGAATTGATGCTTTAAAAACTCTCCAAGAAAATGCATCAAAAGAAGGCAGATCATGCTTCACGAATTAATGAAATCGGTATTCATATTCAAAAACATACCACCTCCCTATCATAACATAAAAGAAACCTTGCTGCAGGTCGTCGTTTTACCGGAACCTTGTAGGCCAACAAACATGAAAATATTAGGTTTTCCCTTTGTGGGTTGGAAAGGTTTCACTCCTGGATCGACTAATTTCATTAATTCAGTGAAAACACAACGTTGAATCAGTCGTCTCTTGTTAACACCACCTGCCATTTCATCGAAGTCCAGAGTCCTCCTAGAAAGCAAGCAGTAAAAATATTGACAAATGATAACAACGGTTCCACAGATCTTTCAAAAGCACTAATGAAATCTTTTCAAACTTAATAAAATATTTCTTATTTATATCAGACTCAAATTTTATATGAATTTTGCAATTTGTTGTTTCGGTTGATAAATGCTTTTATAAGTCCAAAGCTTGTGACTTTCCTACCTAGAAAGTCACAAGCCTTGTTAGCAATGTTCCTCGTGACAACTAAGTGGCCACCTTCCAACATCCAAACTCTCCAGGACTGCTCACTTTAGACGAAGACATATTTCCAAAATGTTGAAAATTGTTGTTAGATACTTACTTGACATTATCTTTCAACACTTTAACGAGTCGTACATTGACATCAGCTTCCAGTAGTGCCGCACAGACTTCTTTGAGCATTGCATTGAGCTCATCTTCGTTGATGATCGTTGCCTGGCCAAGTTTACTAATTGCATTACGAATTTTCCGACCCAAGTCAGCTAATACCATTTTTTGTTTCCAAGTAAAACCTAAAACCTGTAATAGATAAGTTTTACTGAATCCACTTGTCTCTTGCCAACAATTCAACATGGATGTTGACCGATAAATTAAAGAGAGGGAGAGAGAGAGAGAGAGAGAGAAAGAAAGAATTGTCAACAGAGTAAAAGAAACTCGAGTGTTGTTTAGTCTAGTTTTAAGAAGCACCACACGCTTCCTCCTCGATGTGACTGGAAATCACACGGAACAACCTGCTACAACCATCACAAATCCCAAACCACCAACAAATTACGCATCGTGGACAGTCCACACCACAAACACGGCCGGTATGATCGTTAAATCTTCTTCTCATTTTGACATGGGAAAAACGTTGCAGAAAAAAAAACGTTCCGAGAAGTCTCCTCTGCAGCTATGTTTCTGTATTTCGAATCTTTCGCGTGTCCTGTTAAGTAACGTGTGTTTCGAGTCTTCCACGTGTCCTGCAAATGACGTGTGTTCTGAATCTTCTAACGTGTCCTATCGAGTAGCGTGTGTTTCGAACCTTTCACTATCTTGTCCATAATCATACTTTCTTAATATTGTTTGGAATTCACGGACGTCATGCCTGAGATCCATATGTGTCAAATTTTGATTAATTTGGAAGATGTGGATAGTTGACCAGGAATTAATGTCACTCAGGTATTATTCTAAAAATTATTTAAATCTAGTTCCTGGCCTTTCTATACATACTCCCTTACCCCTAGTATAAATCATTGGTCATCTATTACATCGGTTTAAGCTCTTTTAAATCGACAAAACAAAAAAAAAAATAAGTAAATCGACGAATCATCGAAAATGGAAAAAAAGGTCAGTTGGAGACATCTGCCTGCCCTTTTTGTCGTTTTATTATAAGTAATTCATCAGTCAGTGAATAAAACAATCGTAAAATAATTATAAATCAGTAGGTAAGCATTTATAAAACAATTACAAATGGATGACAATCGACACACAAAAAAGGAAAATGTACCATATTGTCAGAAATAAAATGATGAAAAAATATCAAGTAAGGATTATTCAATCCTGTCATTAGTACTTGGTTTCCCTGAGATCAGGGGTCGGAAATGAACGTGATATTAAAGAAGCAAACGTCTGCGTCCGGTATTAATTAAAAATAGACGCGTGATTAATTACATGTTGCCTTTTTCTTTTGTTGAGAAAAAAGAAAACGGATTTTGTCCGAGATTAGAGTAGACGGGTAATGGTAATATGATTTGTATAAAACCTCATTACCTTATTGAATGCTCTGTCTCTTTTTGTACCTACCAAAATTTTTTAACAGCTTTGATGGTACTTTTATTACGAGGTAGATGATATTTTGTAATTTCTTCTCTTTTCCAACTGATAATGATTTAGTAATTCAAAGAGAGGTTTCTATTCTCGTTTCGGCAAGACTTTTTGAAAGATAATACATTTAGTTGTGTAAGTTCTTTTTTCAAACGATATTTATGGCTTTTTTTTTCTGCCAAAAATGGATTTTTTCCGGGAAATGAATAATTCAAGAAACAGATGCAAATGACCAAAAACAGTATGATATGCAAATATATTGATGAGTGATGCGATGAACTAAGTGGGAGATTCATTCGGGAAACACTGAAAACGATATGATGGAATCGGCGGTGTTAAGCTACCACGGCCACTATCTTTACCGGTACTCCGAACACTTGGTCGACGGTTCTGTAGCTCTTTCGGCGATACCACATAATTCTGTTCGGTTGACAGTTGTTGCTAAAATAAAGGATTTTCTAAGAATCCTTTGAATTTCATAAAGGATTTTTGAAATATTTGTGACTTCAAAAAAACATGATTCTTTTTTCTTCGTTTCAAATTTCCACTAAATTCCCTGGAACTTTGCACGAACTATTTGGTAATTTTAGATATCTCAAATTTAAATACATTAACTGTTACCTGTGAAAAACTTGACGATGTATGAGATAAAGAATTCGGGGTGATATTCTTTTCTAATGTAACATGTTCTGAAATATCACTCATCCGTGGTGCTGTTGAAACTCGTAGTCGTCCAGTGAAGATTAGCGATCGTCTCTCAGACTGTGTACTTGAATGAGTTGGCATTTCTTTCCGGAATGTTGACGTCGGTAGTGACCTAAATTCCAAGTGTTTTTCAGAAGACAACAACTGGTGAGATACGTTGATTCATTCTACATTCGATTTCGCGACTTTTTTTGCAAATTTAAAAATTCATACTCAGTACGTGGAAGAGTCATCGAAAGAATGAATGGCACATATTGTCACAAATTTCAAACATTGAGTTCACTTCTGTTCACATTCTACTTTGTCCTGTCTGTATTACTTATTATAGCTAAGATGATACATACCTGTAGACATCGTAATTTTTGAAAGCCTTTCGCAAATCCAACAATGAACTCTGTCGTTGAACATGTTTCTAGAAATTTGTAGACTACAATCTATCTTTTATGCTTCAACCCCTGATGTAACACCTTACCAGTTTTTCATATCTCAAGCTGCTTTAGGAAGTTCTATAATATATACGATCTTCTACATGTGTTTTGTTCATTTGCGAAATTCATAATCCTGTACTACTTAATTCATAATCCCTGTACTACTTGCGTTGTATTTAGTATAATCATTTGTAATTCTGCCTGGATTCAAGTTTTACTTTATCGAAATAAACCCAAAAATTTCGAATAAAATTTATGGAAGTGCAAACTTTGATTTGGTATTCTCTCAGCAAATTTCAAAATTGATTTATTAAAAAAGGTTTACCTCGACCATTAGTTTTGATTCTTTCGTTTTTCTCAATGTTCGCAGATATGAATGGTAATGATGGTACCTACAAAAGGACTTTTTGATAACTTCCAAATCAACTCATTTAAATATTTGAATAATAATTGAATGTTTGAGAAAACCTTTTTTTTTTGGAGAGTTAAACTATATTTATGAGCGTTTTGCAGATGAGACATGAGGACAGATAGACAGATAAACTAGTAAGAATTTCTGTAATTAAACTTGCTTCAGTTCATTGGGGATATTTGCTGTTTTGTTGCTCAGGAATGATACGGGACACAGTCGTATATGCGTAATTTTGGTAAAGAATACGTACAGGAACGGATTCGTAAATGCATTGATCGGATAAAATAGTACTAAAAATATCTTCGCCACACTGATACTAATTAGAGGATGTCCTAAAGCTGCCGTCAGACCTATAAAAAAAAAGAAAAGTTGCACGGAAAAAATAACAACAAACGTATCACGGAAAATGTTATTTGATCATTTATCTGTCAGTTAGTTTAAAATTAATCGATATTAGTATCATTCAATATTAAAATATTTGATACATTAAAAGATAACCAGATCTGTATTATATTTAAATCTCAAAAATAGGAAAGATAAATTTATTGTTAAGCTTACCAAAGAAAAGAGTTGGAAACCAGCAAAGCATTTCTGTACCAATTAGTGTTGCCATTTTCAAAATGATCGCTTTATCTTCTGATCGTTTCGGTTGTTCCGGATCACAAAGCATTGTTACAATGAAACTATAGCTAATAGCCATACCCAAAAATGCAAGCAAATTGAACAACAAACTGGCAATTACATAGATCTGTAATTGCACTAAATTATCTTGCAATCTGACAAAACAACTGATAGCTGTTAATCCATGTCACTATATTAATTTCCAAGTTCGACTATACAGTTAAAGTTACTTTTAAAATTTAATTCGTTACGGTTGAAATCTCATGGCTTCAATTAAAATTTTTGGAGAATTGAAATTTAATTAATAAGAAAATTTTATTGAAAGAATAATACCCGGTCAAAATTATCCTCAATGGAAAGAGGTAGACATACACTGGTACTTGTATATGTGGATACACCTATAATTGGTAGTACTGCCATTGTAAACGCTATAATATATGCCACGACCATCATCATTATCGCAGTTCTCATCCGTAAACGTTTTCCGTAAAAGGCATTTCTGACGAAAACAATTCAAAATTTCTTTTTTTTTTCGGGAGGGAAACAAATAGAGCAAACGTATTTTAATAGCACTTTAGCTCGTCATTAAACATGTTTACTTTTCTTTTTTTCCAATCGAATCAGAAATCATTTACATATTTGTACCTAATATTATAGCACATATCAAAAGCAATCAGAAACATCGACATAATGGAGATTTCGGAACTGAAAACGGAAATGAAACCGGCTATATTACAACCGATACCGGTCTGCCAAGCAACCGCGTAGTTATAATACTCATTTGATGTCTTATAATCTGCTATTGCCAATACACCAAGATAGACACCTAAAAATATGCAATTGCATTACTGATTCAAACAAAGATCAGGTCAAAGAGCACATTGATTCATAATGTGTCCCTTAACTTCGAGATAACGTCAGATATAAATGTCATGTTTTACCGTTCAATAATCACTTTCCTATCTTCTTTCTTTCTTTTCAACTCATTTTTCCACCTTTCACTTTTTTTGCCATTACTAACCAGAAGTGTGTTAGTAACCTTAAGTTCTGACTGATGAAGATTTGATAGAACATCACAGTTGGGACTAATTCGTTCAGTGTTACTCATTCATTGTTCCAGGCTTTTCATCTGGGATAGAGTACCTGTTTCAGCCTAGTTACGGAAAATTTAGTATTTTTTCTTTAACCAGCAAAATTTGCATTTAACACCATTTTCTATGTACTCATTCAACTGATAGTTGTCTTGGCTAACCTGTTAACAAATCTGCAGTGGACAAATTAGCCATGAAGAAATAATGTACTTGCATTCTCTTTTGTCCCATTTGACATAGCACAATCCATACCCCTATATTACCAACAATGGCCGAAACCCATACGAACCATATTACCCAACGTAAAAAGTCATATCTGCAAGTAAGAACTATCATTGGCCTGAATGTGGAGCCAAGTGTCTAACTAATATCACATAAGTATTTCGCTCACCTCCGGATGACAAATATTTGGATGACAAATTGGCCAACCGCCGAGGAATATGTTTATTACTTAATTGATAAGAATGCTTCCAGGAATATTCAACGTACCCAATAACATCTTCGCAGGGATTCAGCGCATTTGGCATCGGAGTGCATTGGATGGAAGCAAAGAAATCACTGACAGCGCTCGACGTACAGTTGAATGTCGTCAGAAGTCCAACATCGGCGTCCTCAAATTCAGGCTCCAATAATGTGTCCCAGTCGTCGTCTATCTGTAATTAGCAAAATCGAATATGCATTGGAGAAAGATTAGCATATCAATAAAATATATCAAAAAATTCGTCAGATTTTTCCTCGAAAAAATCGATATTCGGTCCTTTGACGCTATTTCCCTATAATATGGAAATAATATGTAAGCATAGGTATACCTCAATAGTAATATTACCAGCATTGACAGAATCAAACCACTGCAACAAGTCGGAAAAATCTAGCGGATTTTCCCGCGATTCCTGTGGCAGCAATATTGAACGATCATTTCGAGCAGATTGTCGTCGCTGACGGTTCAATTTTGGCGTTGATTTGGCGGAACATTCGCGATTTCGAATCTCTTCCAGATTTTTCGTGTACATTTCACCAGCTGTACTGATTTCTTTAGAGGCATACTGCAAATAAAAAAATGTAGCACAGAAAGATTTTCCAGATACTGCTGGAAGTAGATGAATTTATGAGCTATTTCCGGAATCCTTCTCAGTTTTCTGATTTGATGGAAAAAATTTCCCGAAACTTATTGGTAATTTAGCAATAAATGACGCTTACTGCAAGGGAATATTTTTCCACAATTTTTAGTCCTAAAGTAAGTTCTTCTTCTTTTTTATTAGAAAGGAATCTAATCTTTGAAATATTTCAAGCAGCTGTCCAACCTTTGTCAAGATCAGACAATATGTCAGGAGATATGAATAAGCATAGACAAGGATGAGGACACGGTGACGAAAAGTAACTTTTTTGAAGTATAAAAAGCTTACCTTAAACAAGCAGCAATGATATGGGTAAGTGAATTCAACTTTTTTCAATGATGTAAATGCTAAAATTGGTGGCAATTTTTTCAGCTCTTCTGTATCCTTCAATTTTAGGCCTTCTAAACGAGACAGACCAGTTGTTGGAAGTTCCGTAATACCGGTACGTGAAAGATCACTGAAACGCAAAATGATTTCAACTGGAACATTAAACCGATTCATATTTGCAAAACCTTATCATTTCATGCTTAAGAGAGCGGGAATTGTGATCGTTTGCTATATTTAACACTAACGAATATCATCGATGAATTTGAAGTACTTACAGAAGTTTGATAAATGATATGCCAGCAAAGGTATCGATTGAAAGACGTTTAAGTTCTAAATTATCGTTCAGTTCTCTATAAAAAGGAGCATGAATCATTGCTTGCATTCAAAAATTTACAATTAAAAAGACTTGCTACTATTCAAATATATATGGAATAATTTTCAAACTACGATTACTGCAACATTTTGATGTATTTTATTCAACTTTGACCCCATAAAACATACAGCAATGAAAATCGACAGTTAGCAAATATATGACTTCCAATTTCACGTAAGTCATTATTGTTGAGACGAATCTTATTAGCATGAACAGCTCGAAGTTGTCCATCTCCCAAATATTCGATATGATTGTAGGAGAAATCGATCACTTCCATGGCTAATCGATGTCTCGGTGTCATCTCTAATGTTGGCATACGTACTAAACCATTGTTACTCATCATCCGGAAACAATAATTACAATGATATCATTTGCGATTACTTTATCATCATTCATCCATCTTTCGCTTGACCCCATAAAAAACATTCCGAGAAAAATCAATAATTTATGTAATGGAAATTTTAGTCTTTTTTGGTGTAAATTAACCAGAAACATTTACAAAGACCTTTGGAAGACAATTGAATAGTTCAAATATTTACAACGTTAAGATCCTTGTGTTATTAATAAGTAGAATTCCAGTGACTTCTTTTAGATTTTTACACCCACTGACAGATCTGAAAGAATGAAAAGGAAGTAATCAGCAAGTTGAACCTTATGTGATATGTGAACCTTTAAAATGATCAAGAAGAAAGAGACTGAAACCTGAACTAACAGTTTGCCAAGATTATATAGATTGCCAAATGCATCAGCATCAACTGATTGCAATGCATCCGAATCCTCAATTACACTGCAATTTTTTCTTTGTTCATTAATTTAATAAAACTTTGAAATAATCTTTGGCATACAATGTTGAAATATTTGAAGATATATTATACTTCTACAAAAAATATGAAAAATTTTTATAAAAAAAGCGAAATCTTTCCCAAATATATGTTTGAAACGATGATAAGATAGGATGAAAAATAAAAAGATACAAACATTTCTTCAAGGTGTTGGTACCTACTGAAAGCGTTTTTACGAATGTGATTGATGCCCACATTATAGAGTAATCTGAAGAAATGGATTTATATTTCAGGATTTAATTTCCAATTATGCATATTCACATCAATTTGTATTCTATAAATTTTAAGAAAATTTTTTAATTTTCGAAAAAAAACAAAATGGTTTTCAAATACGTATGGAATTGTTAAATCGTTTCAGTTCCATTGCTTTTTTTTTTTTCTTTCGTGTTGACATGAATGCAAATTAAGATAAATGATCGCTTTTCCAAGTGGTACTTAACTTACTTTCATTCTGTTTTAATTTTACTAATTCCTAAAAGATGGAACGGAAAAACTTTAAAAAAAAAAGAAAACAGATTAAGACTTGAATGACTAACAGACGGCGAACATTATCAGTCAAATTTCCCGGTATTTCGGTAACCGATTGTCCAACACAGCAACATTTTGGTTCACTTATAAATACGGTACAGCTACAACCACGCTCCACACGACAAACTTTCTCATACCTTTATTATAAATTAATAAGAAATTGCTAAATCTCATTTAGTGATTTCATTCAGAAATATGAGATTTCCTTGAAATTTAAGCAAAATTTAATACAAAATAGAAATATTTCTTATGAATATTCGTTGCGACAATGTTATCTTATTCTTATGTAACATAACGTTTTAGTGATACGACTACTGATATGATATGAAACAACGAGAGGTCATTTATAGCTTTTTTTTTGATAATGATCAATGAGGCATCCTTACAAAGGATGACAATATCAATGAATCAATTATACATCCAATGCTTATTACTTGAAGAATTACTTTCGTTATCATTATTTTAATTGTGAAAATTTCGAGTGGAAATTTTGATACCATTTTAAGTCTTGAGCAATTGTACCATTAGAAAGTATGAAAATGATAAGAGCTGCAAGAAAGTGATGCATAATCGTTCCATTTCATACGGTGTCAAACACTGCATTGAGCTGTATAGCAGTGATAATGTACACAGAATGTTTTATCAGTGCCATGCCTCAAATATGAAAAGATGAAAGAATAGTACAGGTAAAGTAAGAGGAAAGGATGGACGAAACTAATTTACATTGTAATCCTTTTCCCTCTTCATTTGAACTAATAAATTTGCTGTAAACAACAAGTCTACGGAACCGTTTGCTATCACATTAAATATTTTATAGCAATTAATCGACTGACCAATTCAGGTCAAAGTGCACGATACATATTTTTCACTGAGTAGAAAAAGTTAAATTGTTTATTAGTTTGCTATATCGATACCAAAAAAAAAAAAAAAAAGGAAAATTGTTACAGTACCAGTGAAAGGATTGTTTAAATGTATCTAAGATATTTTTAAATTTCACAAAAAATTAAATTAGGCGCCATAAAAATGCATTACTAGCTTAAGCATTTTCAGCAAAAAAAAGGAAGAAGCAGTCATGTGAATTGGTATTTTTAGCTGCTCTTTCAAATTTGCATCATTATTCTTCAGAGAAAATTTAAATTAAAATGTGATTGCTAAATATTTCAGAAATAGTAATCAAAAAAAAAAACCGGAAAAATGGGAAGAGAAGTAGAGAGAAGAAATAAATCAGGACACTGAAATCAACAGCATTTTTAATTCTAAACATCCATATACTGCTATTGAAATTGAAAGAGAATTACAAAATGGATTTTCACCAAAAACAATCTAATATGCGAAATTTCTGAATATTCATGTTAAAAATATCTTTGAGATTCATTTACAAGTAAATTATTTCTCTCTCTCTCTCTTTCCCTTGCAAAAAATTCGCTTAGAAAAATGATGAAACAATTTTTTTTCCTACTACCTGTCAATGTCGCATAAGTTTTCTAAAGGAAAGTTGAGGAAGACGAAAGAAAGGTAATGTTTGAGTAATATTTCTCTTAAGGAACTATTGCTATTTTCATGCAATTAAATTAGAGAAATAGTTACAAGAAATCGATCTATTCATTTAAACATTGCAAAAATGCGGACAGACAAAAAAAAAATTGTTTAGTATCATGTGACACATTCATTGGAGGAGAAAGAGGGAGACCCGATGATACAATGTAATTGACATGAGACCTCCCCAATTCATGATTGATGGGTTAAACTCAACAAATTAGAACAGATCGTTTTCTTTTCTATCATCTGTTGTCTTCAGTCATTGTAACAATTTGATAAAACAAAAAAAAGGAAAAATCAATAAATGCTATTTTTAGCATCACATTTAAATCAAACGTTTGCCTCTTTTGACAGGTAATTTACTTAATTAAGTTAATAACAGTTGAAACTTAACAATTTTAATTAATTTCGCTTTTTTTCGTATTTAGAGAAAAAAATTTCATAATACATTAATTGGTAACTGCATATTTCTGCGACAGTGAAAAAACAATGACACTAGCAAATTAACGTGTTATCACCAGAACGTAATGCTGAAATATGTAATATCGATTTTTTATATGATAAAAATGAAAACGAATTTTCTATGAAATCCCCTTTCATTCCTTTTTTCCTTGATTTTTCTCTAATATATTG